GGGCCGGGCAGTTTCCCGCGATGGTGTGGCGTTGGCGATCAGTTTAGGTATCGCCAACGCCTTTAACACCATTCGCTGCGACACGATCCGGGAGGCACTCCGAGAACACGAGGTGCCTCCGTATTTCCGGATCGTGCTGCGGGACTACCTTTCGGACAGGGTGATCGAGTACCCCGGCCGGGATGGCACAATCGTGCGTCGGAGGGTCAACCGGGGCGTGCCCCAGGGGTCCGTTCTTGGACCCCTACTGTGGAACGTGGGGTACGACTCGGTGTTGCGCGGGCTCCTCCCGCCCGGTGTGCATGTCGTCTGCTATGCGGACGACACGCTGATCATCGCGGTCGGGAGAGAGTGGACGAGGAACATCCGCATTGCGGAGGTGGCGGTGGCACTCATCCTCGCCAGGATCCGGGACCTGGGGTTGCAGATCTCGCCGCGAAAGACGGAGGTAGTCATGTTTCATGGACTGCCTCTGTCGCAGCGGGTCCCCCAGGCCTGGGTACGAGTAGGAGACGCCTGTGTCCGGGTGGAGGGACGTATGAAGTACCTCGGCCTCGACCTGGACAGCCGCTGGCGCTTCGAAGGACACTTCGACCGTCTGGTCCCCCTATCTCGGGGGGCCTGAGGAGAGGGTCCGCCGCCTCTACATGGGGGTGGTGCGAGCGACGGCCCTATACGGGTTATCCGTGTGGACCCGCGACCTGATGGCCGGCCGGCGGTGCCGGCAGCTACTGCGGCGCATTCAGCGCCGCATGGCCATCAGGATCGCGAGGGGGTACCGCACCATCTCCCACGAGGCGGCGGCCGTCCTGGAGGGGGTCGTGCCCTTTGATTTCCAGGCGGAGCCTGACGCCGAAGTATATCGGTGTCTGCAGAGCCTCCGCCGGAACGGGACCGACCTGCCGGACGACGCGGTCGAAGGGTTGAGGCGCCAGGGCCGGCGGCTCCCTCGCGAAAAGTGGCGGCGCCAGCTGTTTGAAAGCGGCGCCGCCCGGCAGCGAGCCGTGGGCGCGGTCCTGCCCGTCCTTGATGGATGGCTGGACCGTCGGCACAGCAGGCTATCCTATCGGCTCACGCTGGTGCTCACCGGGCACGGATGCTTCTGGGAGTACCTGCAGAAGGTTGGAGCCGAGGCGACGGCAGAGTGCCACCAGTGCAGCGCGGGGGTTGACTCCGCGCGGCACGTGCTGGCGGAGTGCCCGGCCTTTGCCAGGGAGAGGCGGGCGCTCCGTTTAGAGATAGGGGGAGACCTCTCGCTCCCGGCCGTGGTTGCGGCCATGGTGGGGAGCGAGAAGTCGTGGAGGGCGGTGTCCTCCTACTGCGAGACTGTCATCTCGCGGAAGGAGGACGACGACCGGGATCGCGTGCCTCGCGGTCTCGAGAGAGGAGGAGAGCCAGGCGGGGTCGTGGGCGGGGCCGTGAGGCCCGCACAGCCGGCGCCGCCGGGGGGGGCAGGCCCACCCCCCGTAGGCGTCTCCTCGCTTCCCGGCAGTCGAGGCCTGCGTGTATGGGCGGACGCGTGCGTGGACATCGGGAGCCGGAGCTTCGGCTCCTGTGGCTCCCGCCTTCGCGCGCGCGTCCGCCGGCGCCGCTGATGCAGTCGGGGGGGGGGCCCCGGCTGCATCCAAAGCGGCCCGGTAGTGCCGGCGTCGGAGTGCAGTCCTCTGACGCTGGCGGAGTAGTGAAGGGGGGTGACCGGGGTATCGTTCACCTCTGGGGGGCGTTCGATCGCTCCCACGGAACGGGCTCTCTGATAAGGGGAGCACAGGCGCGGCGGTGGCGGTGCGTTCATACAAGATCCCGCCACCGCCGAGTTCCGCCCGAGAAGGCTGCCGCGGGGGTTTTAGTGGGTGAGAGTCCCACACTACCTCGGAGTCCCACCCCAGGACTCCGAGGTGTGCATAATGCATTTCCCCCGCGAGAAAATAAAAATCACTTTGTAAAAGAATTATATGAAAATAACAAAATGAGTTTTTTGTATTGTCCAACTAGCGAGATGGTAGCAGACATAATGACGAAACCATTGGGGCGTTTCAATTTGAGCAAACAGCGTGATGCTATGGGACTAGGACACTGGACTAAATAAAAACCGATCCAATTCAGATGTCGAGGGGAAGTGTTGGAATGCGCGACATCTGTCGGTGTCATTACCGATACTGTTTTACCGATGTCGACAGATAAAGAAGATCAGCATTGTTTACATATATTGTTATTCCGACCGCTCTCGGTCTCTCTCTATGTTTTCGTACTTTGCGCGAGCATTAACTCCTAGCCACGTTACAGTGAAGCGTTCTTATGTAAATACTATTATCGTTCAAATGGTCTATTCATTAAATAAATAAATAGTCAGATCATTAAGTGATGTGAAATGTAAATTGCTCTCAACCTTATAAGAGCGTTGTATAACCTGGAATTGCATCCCAATATCCCGATAATATATTAACAGACACATATCTCCGTAAAACCGAATTCGTGAGACAGTTGTCTTGCGGTTGCCTATACAAATTGGATTTCTGCACATTCGTGGTCGTATATGTAGACGACCTATTGGTATTCGCCAAAGACGAAACTATGCTGAATAGGATAGTGACAAGCATAAGTCGACAATACGAGGTACGAGATCTTGGACGAATTTCTTATTTTTTAGGAGTAGGAGTACGTCAAGAAGATGATATGCTCATGTTAAACCAAAAGGGCTATATTCAGTCTTTAATAAAGGGGTACAAAATGTTTGACAGCCGACCGGCTTATACTCCGCTTGAACCAGGAATGAAGCTAACCAAAGATGATTGTCCAATTAGCGAAATAGGAAGGGAAAAAGTCAAAAACATACCTTACCGTGAATTGATAGGGTCATTGATGTATGTGGTGCGGAGCACAAGACCAGATATTGCTTACGCGGTGACAAAGCTATCCCCATTTGTATCTAATCCTGGGAGGGTACATTGGACGGAGGCAAAGAGAATATTGAGATACTTGAGCAACACCTCAGATTTGGAACTAAAATATAAGAAGAGAGCACCAGTATTGGAAGTATGGACGGACGCTGACTGGGCAGGTGACGTGGATGACAGACGCTCATTCAGTGGCACAGCGATCACTATTGGGAGAAAGTTAGTTGACTGGAAGGCATCGAAACAAAAATGTATATCTACTTCAACGATGGAAGCCGAATACGTGGCCATGTCAACGGCAGCGAAGGAAGCAAACTGGGCAAGGATGTTCATTCAGGAGCTGAATTTGGAAAAATGGATCAAGACGCCCTATACCATATGGTGCGATAATAGAGCAGCAATTGATTTCACGTCGCGTACCACTATGTAAGACAGGTTATTGATAATGATGTTGTATGTCTGAAGAATGTTGCCTCTTCCAATAACAAAGCAGACATACTGACAAAGGCCCTAGGCAGAAACCTGCATTCAGAGGCCACTAAGAGATTAGGATTAGTATCTGCGAACGAATTATAAAGTGGGGGGATGGTAATTGGGTTATAATTCCCGCCGAGAGCAATGTTGGGGCCCGCCGTGGCGCGTCGCTTCGTTCCGTGTTTTTACGCGCAACACTAGCTTTTAAAAAACACGTGTTTCCGCGATAACTTTTCAATAGACGTAACCCCGACTTGCCGGTTGTTAACACTACTTATCGATTATACTCTTATATTCTTATAATGTATGTGTGAATAAACTATGTACATTAAAGTGTAGTTCACTCTAACCCTGCTGCACTAACAAAAAATATCTACTAAATTTGTCAGAATTATAGTTTAAGCGACGAAAATTATACAGGGTGTCCCAAAAATGTCCTCCGACCCGGAAATGTGGCACTCGGGGGGTGAATTGGAACAACTTTTTCCTTAGCAAAAATTTAAACTGAGGCTTCGTTTACGAGATATTAACGAAAAACCGCGACCAATCAGAGCGCGAGTTTGCCAGCCGAGTCTCCGCGCTAGCGGTGGCTACGCGCTACGCTTGTACGACGAAACTCCAAACAAGTAGGTCAACATGCATCGCAGGAAACTGCGTATAATAGCAAATAAAAAAGATGTAACAAATACAATCATATTTTTTATCATCTGCCGTTTGTTATTTAAAGAGATTAATGAATGAAACGTAAATGTAGGCAAATTATGTGTAATGTAAAAAGACCTATTCCTTAAAAATTCCTTTTTACGAAAAGGTAATGTAACAGAGAATGAACGAGAAGTGATTGTAATTCGGTATTGGTATAAAAATTCGTAGTTTAATAACGGTCAACAATGTTACTGATAATAAATAAGTTTCTTCAAAAAGCCCCAAGAAAAAGTTAGGTACAGAAACTTGCAGAATTATCGCCGGAAATAAACCATAGCTTGCGTTAAATTAAGAAAATAATAATAAGCCATAAATTGATTAGAACTCACCCTTTCGGAAATTCACCTGCAGTTTGCAAACCTGTGTCACTAGATTACTGAACCAATCCTGGTCATCGACGGCCGAAACGGTTTATGGCAGGGTTTCGCCCAACGAATTGATTCATTTTCCAAAATCAAGCACTCTCTCTACACACACTCTCTCTCAGATCATCTCCAACTATATATAAGCACACACGCTACAGCTGTAGACGCAACGCACATACATCATTTGAATTTGCCACACTTTTGGTATAAACTTTACGTCACGTTTTCATGTTAACTTAAAGTAAATAAATATATATAAATATTAATTCACCTCTTTTCGAACATTATTTGAATATAGCCATAAACGCTATAATTGGTGACCCCGACGTGATTGAGGTGGATTACTTTATCGCGCGCGTAACATTAAAATCCACGTGTTTCCGTACTCAACGCGTTCTTCATTTTCAATACTCATCCACGTGCTTCAAGTGACGTAGTGACGCACCATCATTACTATTTACAAAACTATACAGACATTGAATATCTTATTATTTTTATTGTGAACAATTTGTTTCAACAAGTGCATAAAAGCCACGTGGTGATATAATAGTGCAATAGTGATATGCCATTACAACACTCGCCGAAGAAGGTCATCGATCAACAACAAGCAAATACATGGGAAACATTGCAAACTGATATAAACCCAATTGACGAAACAATGACAACCAGCAAAGATCACATTTTACCACTGGGAGACATTTCTGCAGTATTCGCCTCCGTGGAATCCGTAGCCAACATTAAAATCCCACCATTTTGGAAACATGAGCCGAGCTTATGGTTCATACAAGTGGAATCAATGTTCCAAACCAGCCGTATCACTAGTGATTCAACCAAATACAACCATATAGTCAGTTCATTAGACGCTGAGACTATGATGGAAGTTGCAGACATACTGCGTAACCCACCAGGAGAAGGAAGGTACGTACAATTAAAAACAGAAATAATCAAACGGTTCTCTGACTCCGCAGATCAACAATTGCACATGGCACTTGCTGAAGTCCAATTGGGGGATAAGAAGCCCAGCCAATTATTAAGACAATTACAGTCCCTGGCTGGTAACCGAGCATCAGAAGATGTGCTCCGCGTGAGATGGCTGGCATTACTACCACCAGCCATTGTACGGTGCTTAAAGATTCTCCGAGCAGCCTCACTCAACGAGCAAGCGCAGCTGGTTGACGAACTTATGGAGAACCATTCCGGTCCATTCATCATGGCAACACATCCATCAGGCAGCCGCTCTGTATCACCAAACCACCGTTTCACTGACACGGTCTTAACTAACCTGGCAAAGGACATGTCTGCCATGAAACACACCATGCATGAGCTAGTGACTCAAACAAAAGAACTGTCGCGAATACTGAGTCGCAGCAATTCACATGGGTCACAATGTGGTAGGAGTAGACAACGCTCACATACCAGAGAAACCTCACCATCACCAGGTAGTGAGTGCTTCTACCATCGCAAATACGGTGGAAATGCAAAACATTGCACATCACCTTGCACATTTAACACCACCAACAATCAGGGAAACTAGCCACGCTGTCACACGTTCATGCGGTAAACAAAGGCAGCGTATCCAGCACCGCAATCAATACCAAGGACACCAGACTTCACCTATACGATAAAAAAACACAACAACGATATCTGATTGATTCTGGATCAGTTGTTTCACTACTACCGGTACGTCTATTTAGATCACGTTCTAGAAACACTAATTTAACTCTGTTCGCAGCAAACTCCACACCAATTCCTACATACGGTTTACATACAGGCGACGTTGATTTAGGATTGAGACGTAAATTTCGTTGGTCATTTGTCATTGCTGATGTGCCGGAATCCATCCTTGGGGCAGATTTTCTCATTCAAAATAATCTACTAATCGATATGAGAAACAAACAATTAATCGACTCAATAACTGGATCAACAACAAAAGGGAAAATTATCAAGACTGATGTTCACAGTCTTTCCACAATCAGTCAAACCATGTCATATGCTGATTTATTATCCAAATACATCATCATCACAAAGCCAAGGCATTTCACACCAGATCAAAAAAGCACATTCAGTCATACAATCGTCACTACTGGACCACCAGTGACTGAACGTTCACGCAAATTATTTGGTGAAAAAGCAGCTGCAGCTAGAGCAGAAATCCAACGACTCCTCGACAACGGAGTGATACAACCATCTAGCAGTCCATGGGCAAGTCCAATACATTTAACAAAGAAAAAGAACAACACATATCGCCTTTGTGGGGATTACCGAAAACTCAATAGCATCACCATTCGAGATAAATACTCACCACCACTGATCCAAAACCTATTTTTGATTGTCCATGGGAAAAAGATCTTCTCCACAATTGATTTGGAAAGAGCGTACAATCAGATACCAGTAAACAAAGACAGCATTCAAAAAACCGCAATTGCAACACCTTGGGGTTTATATGAGTACATTGGAATGCCATTTGGATTGAAAAATGCGACTCAAACTTTCCAAAGATACATTGACTACATTCTTCGTGGCCTGGATTTCGTCTTTGTATACATAGATGACATTATTGTGATGTCAGGAGACGAGAAACAACATAGAGACCATCTTCAACAAGTATTTCAACGACTGTCCGAGCATAAACTATCAATCAATGTTAATAAATGTACTTTTGGACAAACGCAGGTATCATTTCTCGGGTACCAGATCAACGGTGAAGGATTCCATCCGAATCCTGACAGAGTGAAAGCTATCGACCATGTAACCGTTCTTTTATTTTTATCAATTGAACCCCGGGAGGTAACGTGCCCCTTTGACGATTCCTCGGATTGTCTAGAGTGGTTCGTGCCTCCAGGCACTGGATAGCGACGATCTGGTTGGTGTTAGAAAAAAAATTGGAGACGATTTAGAGGTAACAAACGTTGCGTATATTCTGTTGAAACAGTGTTACAACAATGCCTTTCCCCTTTTTTATCGAGGATTGTTTAACCCGAAAAAGAGCACTGACGCTGCGCGTGGATACGATATTAGTGTCGCGTGGCCCGCTTCCTTACTCTCAATGCACGTTGTTCACACCAACTTTGAGACACATCCTTGTCGTCAGTTGCGATTGTTCTATATTGAATCGACGATTGAAGATTTGTCGCAGCATTCACACATATGGCCGAAGTTCGGAGAAAATGCGTGAGTGGAGACGTGCATAAAGCCGCAGTCAAACTGCAACACCCAAGAGCTCACTCGTCGGCACGATACGTGGATTTCGAGTGATCTCCGGTGTCGGGAGAGAGACGTTGACCATGCAAGAATCTGATCGTTTATCGCGATTCGATTACGACGCGGCAACCACCACTCGCTCCGACCGGTCAGACCGGGGGGGAAACGAATACTAGCCCGCGCGTAGATTGACGATTGAGGATTTGTCGCAGCACTCACGCATATGGCCGAGGTTTCGGAGAAAATGCGTGAGTGGAGACATGCATAAAGCCGCGGTCAAACTGCAACACCCAAGAGCCCACTCGTCGGCACGAAACGTGGATTTCGAGTGATCTCCGGTGTCGGGAGAGAGACGTTGACCATGCGAGAATCCGATCGTGTTTCGCGATTCGATTACGACGTGGAAACCACCACTCGCTCCGACCGGTCAAACCGGGGGGGAAACGAGTACTAGCCCGAGCGTATATTGACGATTGGGTATTTGTCGCAGCACTCACGCATATGGCCGAAGTTTCGGAGAAAATGCGTGAGTGGAGACGTGCATAAAGCCGCAGTCAAACTGCAACACCCAAGAGCCCACTCGTCGGCACGATACGTGGATTTCGAGTGGTCTCCGGTGTCGCGAGAGAGACGTTGACCATGCAAGAATCCGATCGTTTATCGCGATTCGATTCCGACGCGTCTGGTTTAGCTAACTTCGAAGGTGCGAATTGAGCACTACGCGTATATGACCGAATTCCTTAATAACCAGAGTATATAATGTGACTGTACCGAACTCACGACAACAAGGACACGTGAATCAACAATATCACACAATCCTCGTTTACACACGGTTGTACAGAGCCGAAAAACAGATATGGCAGCACATTATTACTACCTTTCGATTAAAATGTGCTCCTACGTTATTTCACGGCTGTGTACAATACAACGTTCCAATTTGACTGCTGCATGGTTCACGACTGATACACAAACGATTAATTTAAATATTATTTCCGATTGGGCTGTGCCAAGGCGCGGTTTGAGCACTTGACTCCTCGGTTTGAGGCGCGTATGAACGAGGGTAAGAAACGGCGGTTTGACGATCCTACCAGGTTGGTTTAACCTCTCGATTAGATACCGTGTTTCGCCGTACGGATCTTCCTTAGGATCGCGTGTGTATCAGTTCGCTTCCCAGCGCAGAGTGCTGATCGACGGGCTAGTATCGACCTCCTTCGATCAGCACCCGGTGGGGATCGATGCGCACGCAATCTTAATAGATAGTGGGGCATTCCCACTCCGATTCTATTACGTGGATCGCGAGCTCCGTCGATTCCCGTCATGCGATATATCGCTACTGTGCACTAACACCTAGCTATCTCTGTGTGTGTGTCTCTCCGGAGCTCGTTTATGTATTAGGAACGGTTACAACCAATACCCACTTCCATCAAGAATCATGGAACTACGGAAGTTTCTTGGAATGTTCAACTACTACCGTCCATGCATAAAAGACGCAGCACAACTGCAATTACCTCTTACAGTATAAAAAAAAAATTCCAAGAAGAAAGACAAAACTCCTATCGACTGGACAGAGACTTCAAAACAATCCTTTTACGCTTGTAAGAAAGCTCTTTCATCTGTAGCACTGACCACATATCCAACTCCAAACGCATCTCTACGACTGACAACAGACGCTTCAACCAATGCTATCGGTTCAACACTTGAACAGCAAGAACACGACAAAAATTGAAAACCGATAGGTTTCTTCTCAAGAAAAATGACAGAGACTGAGACAAGATACAGCACTTATGAGAGAGAACTACTTGCAATTTTTGCCAGCACAAAACATTTTAAACATCTTCTAGAAGGACGACAATTCACTATTAGAACTGACCACAAACCACTGACTTTCGCTTTCACACAAAAATTAGAAAAAGCATCAGAACGTCAACTGAGACAACTAGACTACATCCCACAATTTACAACAGACATAGTTTACGTAAAGAGTGAAGACAACGTAGCAGCAGACACTCTGTCAAGAATTAATACAATTAACGTACCAACGAAAATAGACCCACAGATAATACAACATCAACAAGACGACAATGAACTACGAGAACTTCTCGAAAATAATAGTTCATCCTTACAATTGAACGAACTCAAACTCGACAACACAAACATTTACTGTGACATTTCGACAGGAACAGTCCGACCTTACCTTCCACTTACACTCCGCAAGACAGCTTTCGACGTCATCCACGGACTCTCACATCCAAGCAGAAACATCACATCACGCCAAGTTCGAGAAAAGTTTGTATGGCCAGGCATGAAGAAAGACATCATCACCTGGGCTAGAGAATGCATACCTTGTCAACGTTCCAAAATACAACGACACACACGTATTCAACCACAGCACATTGACGTACCAGATGATCGCTTCAAACACATACACCTGGGCATCATCGTGGTACCTGAACATAAAGGCTACAAACACTGTTTGATCATCATCGATCGTTTTTCTAGATGGCCCGTTGCAATTCCATTGAAAGACATCACTACTGATACAGTCATCACTGCGTTATTCGACCATTGGATTGCACATTACGGCACGCCAACAACAATAACATCTGATCAAGGTTCACAATTTGAATCATCCTTATTTCAGGCATTTACAAAATTCATTGGGTGCAACAAACAGAGAACAACTCCATATCATCCACAATCAAATGGCATGATTAAACGATGGCATCGTACTTTGAAGTCAGCATTAATGTGTTCACCGAAACCTTGGACAGAGATACTCTCCACTGTACTGCTCGGACTTCGTACAAGTTATAAAGAAGACATCCTAGCCTCACCAGCGGAAATGTTGTATGGAACAACCTTACGCATTCCGGGAGAATTCTTCATCAACGGCGATTTTGCAGCTGAACCACCTTTTTTTTTAGAGAAGCATCGCGAATTCATGAGGGGATTGAGACCAACACCAACAGCTCATCACGTAAAGTCAAGAATATTCATACCGAAAGATCTTCACACTTGTAGCCACGCATTTCTAAGATCTGACCACGTTAAAGCACCATTGGAACAACCATACAGAGGACCATATAAAATTACAAAAAGATCTTCAGACACAATTTTTGAATTAGACATTGACGGTACACTTAAACAAATCAACATTGATAGATTGAAACCAGCATACATATCCAAGACAGACGTAGACATCGCCTCGGAACCCACACAGACTGATCGAGTTCCTGAGCATCAATGGAGTTCAACATTTTTTTTTTTTTATTTGTTTCTCTTTCCTTTCCGCAGTTTAAAAGCTATTGCTCATTACTGCCTCGTTCTCGTTCTTATTCGTTATTTCTCTTTATGTTTTTATTGTAGGGTTCTTCGTTTTTCTATATTTTTTTTTTTTTATTTTTACTTTTGCAGGGTCACTTTGCAGGGGCACAGGACATTAGGCGTGAGCCTAATGTTTCCGTCCCTGCCACGAGGAGGCGGACCCACTACTACTAGCTAAGTTGATTCCAAACTACCAGGTTCTATTTATCTGTTATCTTATTTTCTTATTTCATTTAACATTCTTTTGTTTCTTTCTGGTGTTTCGAATATCCAGGATGTTATATTACTGATAAGTATTTTTCTTACTAAGTCTTTGTTCTCTTTCCTCCTTCTTTTCACCTCTTTTTCTTTTCCTCTTATACTAATCCCTTTCTTTTGTTTCAGGTCTCAGGATGTCAAGATTTTTCATCTTCAGCTCAGGATTTCGTTTGTTTGCGGTAGGTAGGTTTTTCTCTCTTCAAATATTTCTTTCACGTAATTATTAAATAACTTGTAATCTTTCTCTTCAGTGATCAGTCTGTTCCAGTTAGTTGCATTTTCTTTTAGGTGCGGATATCTATATCTTCGGTATACCGGGCAGATGAATAGCATGTGTTCCGCTGTTTCTTCTTCTTGTTTACAGGCTGGGCATAAAGCTGTTTCTGAAAGCCCTCTTTTGTGAAGCGAATAATTTATCGATCCATACCCTGTGAGGATGTATACACTTAATCTAGGTGGTCTGAACCATGGTCTGTTTTTGTGAAATCTAACATCTTTAATGAATCGGTAAGTGTCTCTTGCATGTTCACTTAAATCCCATCGTTTCTGCCATACATCGTATATTCTTTCGTTTATTATGTTTATTTTTGTTTCAGGTTCTGCATCGGCGTCTTCTTCATCCCAGTTCAGACGAAGTCCTTACCAACTGACAGGTAAGTTTCTCCTTATTTTTCTTATAAGCCCCATTTTTATTATTTCCAGGTCTATGGGCAGACATCCACTGATTATTTGCATTGCTACAGTAGATACTGTTCAACAGGCTTTTGTTAGTACCATCAGCATAGCTCTCTGAGCCGAATTTAATTGTTTTGCCACCGCTGTATGTTCGGATTTGTCATACCATATTAGTCCCCCGTATGTCAGTATAGGAATGCAAACCGCTTTGTACAGTATTTTGAGTATAGGTTGCATGATACCCCATTCTTCGTTTGCTTGTCTTCTCACTGCCATAACATACTTCATAATTTTCTCCCGTAGCTTTTTAGCATGCGATATGAAACTTAGCTTAGAGTCTATTGTTACCCTTAAGTATTTCACTTCCTTTACCAGTTTTATTGTTTTGTTATAAACTTTTATTACCGGGGGTCTTTTTATGTCCAGTTTTCCTTTTACCAAAAGGGAGACTGTTTTTGTTTCAGATATTTTTAGTTTATTGTCAGTACACCAGTTTTGAAACATACTAACAGCCATATTACCATTTATTTCCAATTCTGCTCTTGAGTTTCCTTTTATAAGAAAGGTAACATCGTCAGCATATGCAATCACTTGCACCTTGTCTTCGCTTATGTTTTCCGTGAAATGTATTAGGAACGGATCAAGGCACCAATTCCAGGCTGCCGGGCCGATTATCGACCCTTGCGGGCAATGGAGTTCAACAGCAAACATTCCTACAAAAACATATTCAAAAAAGAAAGTCTCTTTCAATCTCCCGCTTAAAAAAGACTTAGGGGGAGTACTGTGGCCGCCATTCGAAACTTTGGCGCTTCTCGATCATCATCGTTATGCCTCTAGTGGACAAACAACGAAATGATTCATTTTCCAAAATCAAGCACTCTCTCTACACACACTCTCTCTCAGATCATCTCTAACTATATATAAGCACAACGCTACAGCTCTAGAAGCAACGCACATACATCATTTGAATTTGCCACACTTTTGTTATAAACTTTACGTCACGTTTTCATGTGTTAACTTAAAGTAAATAAATATATATAAATATTGATTCACCTCTTTTCGAACATTATTTGAATATAACCATAAACGCTATAAGATGTGGGGATATCAGCGCCACTGCGCAATTCCCCCAGGTTGGCAGCGCCAACCTCGGGCCATATATAACCAAGAGTCGAGACGCCTTCCCTCTCTTCTTCTTCGTCTTCTTCTTCCGCGCTCGACTTCCGACTCTCGGTAGAGACGCACGTCTCTATCCGCCGCTCCCGATCTCGGGAACAATAAAGTTTTCTTTTACAAAAAACGTGTCATAACTCCGTGATATCCTCGTGGTCCTCAACACCATTCTGAGCACGTTGGCTGCTCTCCAGTACGCCGGTCGCCCGTACTGGTAAAACTCAACAAAGAGTGTGAAGGGGGCGACATCTGTGTGGGATGGAGAAGCAGGGCGTGTATTGCGAATGGGAGAAGAGAACAACGTGCGAACAAACATAATTCTTTATTCAAGAGAATATATATAATAAATACGTTCTATATAATATGAAAGTGTGGTTAAAATTCCCATTCCTACTCCCAGAAATGGTAGCAGAGCGTGGTTGTAAAGAATAGTGAAAAAGTGAAAGAAAGTGGTGTCAAGAGAAACACGTGGCACGTGCAAAAATAGAGGTTAGAATGGCAGAGGGCTGGAATCTGACGACCGTTGAGCTGCTAAACGACAGTAATTATTTCCTCTGGAAGGAAAAAATAGAGGGAATATTAAGAGCGAAAAAGTTATGGAAAAAGGTAATAGGTTTAAAACCGCCAGAACAACCACAGGCGGAAGGAGAAGGATACGATGAGAAATATAAAGTATGGGACGAATGGGATGACAATAATCACGCTGCAAGGACTATAATGATTAATACAATGACGAAAGCGCAGGTATTAAAATACTGTGACGAAAAAATTGCAGATAAATTATGGAACAAGATAAAGTATAATATAGCGGCAGAAACAGAACAAGTGAAGGCGCGAACACTAAACGAATTAACAAATTTACGTATGACGAAAGAAGAAACCGTGGACGAAATTATAAACAGAGCTGAAGCATTAAGAAACCAGTGTGCTCAATTAGGAAAGGCTATGGAAACATATGAATTGAAGATGTACATCATGAGAGGCCTAAGAGGAGAATTTGATCAAAACGTTAGAATACTAGAAAATCAACGAGACACAAATATTAATGACATCAGATATGCATTAAAACAGGAAGAAATTAGAAAAGATAAGCGTAAAGAAGATAGAATGTTGAGAGATTTTGAAAGTGTGAGGAAAATGAAGGAAAAAACAAAGAGCGAGATACTATGTTACAATGCTATGGAAAATTAAAATGCTTTTATTGCCAAGGAACAGGGCACATTGCAGCAGAATGCAAGGAAATAAAGCGTGCGAAACCCTCCAGAGGAAGAGGACAGCGAGGATGATTTCAGAAGAGGAACCATTGGAAGGAGAATGGACAAAGTCGTGGCAGAGGCGAAATAATGATGAGAACTACAGATGAAGCCGTGATGACCATGACTGAACGAATACACATGAATAAGATAGCAAGAGTTAGAAAAGAGTGCAGCGAAGGTGTGAAAAGTAAAAATATAACATGGCTACTAGACTCAGGCTCTACGAGTCACATGGTATGGGACCCTGAAATGTTTGATAAGTTGTGTAGTGAAGAAAGAGAAATAATGTTAGCAGACAAAGGAGGAAGAAAGTTAGTTTCCAATGGAATCGGAGAAGTTCCTCTGAGACAAGAAGATATAGAAAATAAAGTAAGACTGAAAAACGTGTTATGTGTGCCTGACCTGAATACTAACTTGTCGGTAGCCAAATTTACAGACTATGGGTATAAGGTTACATTTGATGAATATGGTGCTAAAGTATATAAAGAACCTGGAAAAATACAAATGAAAGCAGTGCGTAAGGGTAATGCATACTATGTAGAGTCAATAGGGACAAATAGTGAAGTTGTTACTGCGACATTCGAAGATAATATATGGCACAAAAGATTGGGACACGTGAACAAAAGGATCATCGAAAAAATGAAGAAAGAAGAGTTGGTGATTGGCATGAAGGAAGAGAACAGGATGAACATACAGTGTAAAGGTTGCGTCGAAAGGAAAGCGTGTAGGAAAATACACCCAAAGCTCGAGAGAAGAAAGAGTAAAGAAATCATGGAATTGTGGCACTTAGACTTAATTGGGCCCGTACATCCAACTTCTAAAGGGGATAGAAGGTATGTTTTTACCATAATTGACGATTACGCTAGAATGATTCTTGTTATATTATTAAAAGAAAAAGGAGAAGCTGTAAATGAATTAAAGAAATTAATAGTTTTGAAGGAAAATCAAATAGGAAAGAGATTAAAGTCAATCCGATCAGATAACGGAGGAGAGTTTATAGGAAATAACTTAAGAGGTTGGTTGGAGAATAAAGGAATTAAACATGAGTTGAGTCCGGCTCGAACACCACAGTGCAATGGAGTAGCAGAAAGAAGTAATAGATCATTAATTGAAATAACAAGATCTCTGATGTCAGACTCGCAATTGTCTATGAATTTTTGGGCGGAGGCAATGTATTCATCTGCACACATTAAGAATAGGATTAAATCTAGTGTACATGGAATGACGCTGTATGAGTTATGGTATAGAAGGAGACCAAACATAAAGTATATGAAGAGATTTGGTTGTATTGCGTACATATTAAACAAGGAAAGATTAAGAAATAAATCGAACCAAAAACACTGAAAGGAATATTTTTAGGTTATGCAGGTAATAATACTTATAGGGTGTATATACCTGAAACTGGAATAGTACGGAGTGACTGTGATGTAAAGTTCGATGAAAGCAAGAATGGAGTGGAACTATTAGGTTGGTGAAAAATAATTGCGGTTTTCGCGACTAAAAACTTGAGTTATCTGTCTGAAGTGAGATGTTTTGTAACTACGTTCATGTAGTATACCATTTCAAAGCGTGAAGTTAGCTTTATCGATGTATGTCTGTGACTTGTTTCTGCCTGTTTATTTGTAGCTGTATTTGGTCAGGAAAGTGAAGATGGAAAACAAACAAATTCGAGCGATATTATTGTATGAGTATAAACTGGGACGAAAAGCTGCGGAAACTGCTCGCAATATTAATCAAGCATTTGGCTAAGGAACTGTGACTGAGCGTACGGCTCAACACTGGTTTCAGAAGTTTCGTAATGGTGAAGAAAGTCTTGAAGACGCAGAGGGTCGCGGACGTCCTTCTGTGACCGACAATGACGAATTAAAGGCCATTATCGAATCACAACCACGTAAAACGTCTCGTGAGGTTGCAGAGGTATTTAATGTTGACCATTCAACAGTTATTCGTCATTTATCAGGAATCGGTAAATGCAAAAAGCTCGATAAATGGGTACCGCATGAGCTGAACAAAAGGCAGAGGTTTCGTTGGTTTGAGATTTGCTCTGCTCTGCTGTTACGGAACACAAACGATCCATTTCTTGATCGGATCATAACATGCGATGAAAAATGGTTTTTATATAATAATCGACGGCGTTCTGCTCAGTGGTTAGACCAAGATGAAAGACCAAAACATTTTCCGAAGCCAAAACTTCATCAAAAAAAGGTTATGGTCACTGTTTGGTGGTCCAGAAGTGGGATTATCCACTATAATTTTCTCAAACCTGGTGAAACTGTTACATCAGTGAAATATTGCCACGAAATCGACAAAATGCATAAAAAGTTGAAAGATTTATGTCCAATACTCGTCAATTGAAAGGGACCTATCCTATTGCATGACAACGCCCGACCACATGTCTATCAGGAATCACCGTACAAAAACTCAATGAACAAGGATACGAAACCTTGCCTCATCCACCTTATTCGCCGGACTTTTCTCCGACGGATTATCATTTATTCAAACATCTGGAAATCTTTCTGCGTGAGAAAAACTTCAAAACTCAAGCAGCAGCCGAAAACGCAGTTGAAGAGTTCATCGACTCTAGAACACCAGAATTCTATAATACTGGAATGAACAAACTTGTACTACGTTGGCAGAAATATATAGAATCAAATGATTCCTATTTTGATTAAACAACTTCATTTTAACCCAAGATATATTATTTCAAAGTTCAAGCTTCAAAACCGCAATTATTTTTGCACCAACTTAATACTAAAATGGAATAGGACAGAAGAAGATGAAAACTATAATGACCTGGTGATTATAGGATTAGAAGATGAAACGAAAAATAGAGAAATAGAAATGAATGAAGAGAGAGAAGAAGAGACGAATGAAGGGGAAGATAGTATATACGAAAACACAGATACGCAAGAATTCAACAATGAAGATGAAGTATGTAACCGTACGTTTGTCTACTTTGATAATTCGTGAGAGCTTCTACTAATTTTCTATGCTCCGCCTGATCTGAGGGCGGTTACTCTACTTCCTACCTCGGCGTGTCTGACTTAAATCGCGTAGGAAGGCAAGGTTCGTGCCTTTGGGCACGTAAGGACCTTGAGTGGAATAGGTACTTGTAGAGAACGGCAAACAATTCTGGTAAAAGTGTTCTATATTCTAATATGCCCTTGTTACACGTGAATTTATGTCGTTTCGCGACGCAGCTCGGAATCCGCGTGGTTAATACGCACGCACGCTTTGCACAGTGTGCAATACACACTTTCACTGTTATATTTCCGGGGATTGCTTGATTCGCGGACCTAGCTAGAGATGCCTTGAAATCTGTCGCCGCAGGTGATGGTCCTGCCGATAATTCGGGAGGACTTCTCACGTGGAGAAACACACAAAACCTCCGTCAGCCCGCGATGCACAAGACGTCGGTGAGAGGTACAATAATGTGGCCCCTGCACCGATTTCCAGCACCGGTAGACAAATGTCGGTCGTGCTCAATCGTACACTCTGTTTGGGAACGAAACCCCGTGACTAGACGTCTCAGCAGCCGATGATTCTACCGATAAATCGGGAGAACTTCTCGGGTGGAGACACGCACTGAGTCTTAGTCAATCCGCAGTTCTAAAGACGCAAGTGAGAGATACGTACACGTGGTCCCAACACTTGTTTCCAGAACCGAAAGAGAAACTTAGGTCGTGCTTAACCTAGCACAGTCCTCAGAAACTACGTCCCCGATGCATATGTCTGTCAACCGATGATTCTTCCGAGTACACGGGAGAACTTCTTGGTTAGAGACGCGTACAAAACCTTAGTTAATCCGCAGAGCAAAAGATACGAGGGACAGATACGCAAGCGTGGTCCGACACTCGTTTTCAGCACTGGTAGAGAAACTCCGATCGCACTTATGCTCCTAGCTACACTCACTCGCAATGCCGAACGGAATTGCGAGAAGGAAACTGGCAGAATGCAATGGGCAGGCTGATCAGCTCTCCCTTTTCTCGGACGACCGGAACTATAACAGTGGCAGCTAGTTTTGTAAAACTTATAATTAAACTATAAGCGAATCTCGCTTATGGTAGAGTTAGTTCGATTCTGTATGATTTGATGCGTTTACTTGATGTTTATTACACGTAACTTTCTTTGAATTCTGTTATTTTCTTATTAGCTTGTTGTTTAATGTCACACTCACGATGTGTCCTCTGATACTGCTTTTAGTTATGTTTCGTTTCTTTCAACTAGTTTGTAATAGTAATATTTTTGTATTAAGTAGAATTTGATTTTATTTTATTATAACTTTTGTGACATCTACGCTGGGCTTCCAGAAGCTTTTTCCCGAGTTGAATCTCGTTACAGCAGTTCAAAGGTGCGTACTCGTGAGGATGGCAAAAGACGCTTTGCTTTGTCTCCCCATCGAACTGACTCCACCACACAAATTGGTTTTCGCTTAACGGACTCTATTCCCTATTTGCGACTAATCTGGATCGTTTCCAGTCGTAGAGTCAAGATCTACCGGCTCGCATCGACCTCCTTCGATTAGCATCGAGTGGGGATCGATGCGTGCGCATCCGCGGTGATTGAGTGGGATGTCGCGGCCTCGCCGTTCTTCGTTAGTGCTCGGGACCGCTCGTATAATGCTCGCGGATCTTATGACGATAGCTGTGTAACCGTTTAATTTATACTTGGTTCTAACCAACTAGCCGCGGGGTCGGTTACGAACCCCTCGGGCTTGTCACGTGACCTATTGAGATTGGTTCGTGCCTCCAGGCACTGGACAGCGGAGAGATCTGGTTGGTACAAAGTAACAAAGTTTCACGTATATTCTGTTGAAATTGATATGTACAAAGAATTGTTGCTGTGCCCGCGATTGAGGTTAGAGTTCAAATTGAATTGCGAAATTTATACGTCGATTGGTTTAACAGTTCGTTAGGCCTTACCGCTCGTTAACAATATGCTGCGTTATGCCGACGTTCTCTCGGAGGCGTGTCGTTGTCGATTGTCAAGGTTAACCTAGTTGCAAGGTTATCGTGCGCGCACGAGTGAGGACCTGTCGCATCACCCACGCATATGGCCGAAATTCGGAGAAAATGCGTGGATGGAGACAAAAATAACGCCTCAGTCAATCTGCAACACCGAAGAGCTCACCCGTCGGCACTATGTGTGGATTTCGAGTGTTCTCCGGTGCTGGGAGAGAGACTACGACGATGCCGAATCCGTTCGTGTATCGCGAGTCGAATACGACGCGGAAACCACCATCCGCTCCGGCCGGTTGAACCGGGGGGGAGATGAATACTAGCCCGTGCGTATGTCAACGATTGAGGATTTGTCGTAGCACTCACGCATATGGCCGAGTTGTCGGAGAAAATGCGTGATTGGAGACGCGCAAAAAGCCCCAGTCAAACTGAAACACCCAAGAGCTCACTCGTCGGCACGATGCGTGTATTTCGAGTGATCTCCGGTATCGGGAGAGAGACTGTGACCATGCAGAATCCGATCGTGTATCGCGAGTCGAATACGACGCGGAGATAGTCAAAATTCGTGGTAACCAATGAAATTGACGATTCTGCGGTACGATGACAAGGACACGTGAATCAACACGCATTCAACGTAACTTGTCTACACACGGTTGTACAGAGCCGAAAAATAAGTATCGTTAGACCGAGACGAATATGTCTAGAATGAAATCGTACCTCTTTACTATTTTGCGGCTATGTACAATACATCGTTCCAGTGACTGCTGCGTGGTTCACGACTGATAAATAAAATAACGATAAACTTCCCAAATTTCCGTGTTGTGGCAGTGCCAAGGCGCGGTTTGTGCACTTGACTCCTCGGTTTGAGGCGCGTACGTAACGAGGCCAAGAAAGGCGGTTTGACAATCTTACCAGGTCGGTTTGACCTCTCGCTTACGTACCGGGTTTCGCCGTACGGACCCCCCTTAGAATCGCGTGCTTATCAGTTTGCTTCCCAGCGCAGATTGCCTATCGACGGGCTCGCATCGACCTCCTTCGATCGGCATTTGGTGGGGATCGTTGCGCACGCATTCTTAAAAGATAGTGGAGCATTCTCGCTCCGATTCCATGAAGTTGACGTCAATATTCAAGACGCGATCGGACACGCGCTGCAAAATCTTGTGCGGACCTGAGTAAGGCCTCTCGAGTGCCTTTTTTGCCACGTTTCGAATGAAGACATGCGAACAATTGTGGAGTTCTTTGAAGTAAAACGCACGTTTCGCATGCTTGTGCGCTCCGGGCACCGGACGTACCCGACGCATGTACTCGCGGAATTCCTCGATGAAGAAATTTGAGTCGGGTGAAATATCTTCCGGAAGGAAGAACTCACCGGGAAGGCGCAAAGTGGTGCCGAACAGAAATTCTGCGGGGGACGCACCAGTGTCCACTCGCACATGGGATCTGAGACCCAGTAAAACTGTGGAGAGAACTCGCGACCAGCTGGCATCTGCATGGCACATGATTGCGGCTTTAAAAACGCGATGCCATCTCTCGATCATGCCGTTTGACGCGAGGTGATACGCCGTCGTACGAATACGGCTGCACCCTATCAACGATAGGAGTGCTGAAAACAGACGGGATTCGAACTGAGCACCCTGGTCGGTAGTTATGACCTTGGGTGAACCATATCGTGAAATCCAGGCGTCGTAAAACGCCCTGGCTACCGTCTGGGCCGTAATATCCGGCAGGGGAACAGCCTCCACCCAACGAGAGAATCTGTCGATCATCGTGAGACAGTACGTACATCCCTGTGACGAGGGCTGAGGACCCACAATGTCAATATGAACGTGGTCGAAACGACCATCAGGGGCGACGAAATGCTCTGGAGTTTGACGGACATGACGCGAGACCT